CTTGTCCTAGACTAGCTTAAGGGGCTGTGTCTGGACCCTTATTAGTTCTATGGGTTCCAATTCTAAGTGCACCTGCTACTCTTCATTTCTGTGGTTCTCCACCTTCTCCTCTGAGCTCCATGACAAAAGGAGATTTCCTTTCTTTTATAAAACCAGCCCCAGCACAGGGCCCTGGACAAGTAGGTTGAGTGAAGGTTTGATGAATGAATGCATGCACGAAAGCATGAATCTGTTTTTAGCACTCCTGGAGTTACTCAGAATGGCTATAGAGGCACTTCCTCTCAATTTATTAAAGATTCAACTCTCAGTCCTTGAAAATGGAATTACCAGCACACACACACACACACACACGCACGCACGCACACACGCGTATGTATCTAATTTCTACCATGTGTTTCACATCCCAGAACTGACCAGAGGCCAGTGTTTGAAGAATTTAAGAGTTCATATATGGCAAAAAAAAAAAAGTCTCGCTATTTGCTTTTTTTTTTTTTTTTTTTTTTAAATTTAAGAATTAGCTTGTATCATTGTTATGAAGTCCCTGGGTGGTGCACAGGCTAACACACTTAGCTGCTAACTGAAAGGTTGGAGGTTCGAGCCCACCCAGAGGCATCTCTGAAGAAAGGGCTGGTGACCTACTTCAGAAAAATCAGCCACTGAAACCCCTATGGAGCACAGTTCTACTCTGACACACATGGGGTCACCATGAGTTGGAATCTACTCGATGACAACTCGTTATAAAACCTTGTGCATGAAATCTTTGAAGTCCCTGGAAGGTGCAAATGATTAACATGCTCAGCTATTAACCAAATGGTTGGCAGTTCAAGTCCACCCCAAGGCACCTCAGAAGAAAGGCCTGGCAATCTATTTCAGAAAAATCATCCACTGAAAACCCTATGGAGCACAGTTCTTCTCTGACACAAATGGGGTCACCATGAGTCAGAGTCAACTCAACAGCAACTGGGTTTGCAGTCTCTGGGTGGTGTGAATGGTTGAAGCACTTGGTTGCTAACCAAAAGATTGGAGGTTCGAGCCCACTCAGAGGCACCTCAGAAGAAAGACTTGGTGATGTACTTTAGAAAAAATCAGCCACTGAAAACCCTATGGAGCACAGTTCTATTCTGACACACATGGAGTCACCATGAATTGGAATAGACCCCACGCAACTGTTTTTTGTTTGTTTGAAATCATTATCACATGGATAATCTTGACTTAGAAATCTTAGCTTCTTGGTGAAAAGACCGAGTTCTGAAGACACACTGTCTTGTTTTGAATCTAATTCCAGCCGCTTAGTAGCGGGGTGGTTGGGGACAGATGGATTAAGTTTTCTGATGATCAACTTCTTTCTTTGTAAAAGAGAAGCAATACAGGTGCCTACCGCTTAGGGCTGCTGTGAATGTTAGACTAAGAGCGGTCAGATGCACAGAGAGGACTTGACAAAATAGCTCTCATCGGTACAAGAGTAGTACTTTTGCTTTTTGAGTTTTATTTGGTAGAATTTCTTGTGGACACTTCAAGATTTACTCAAATAAGACTCTCCCGAAAGCTTTGGAGCCCCTGGGTGGTGCAAAAGGTTAACGTGCTCAGCCCCTAACTGAAAAGTTGGTGGTTCGAGTTCACCCAGAGGCACCTTCACAGGGAAAAGCCTGGTGATCTTATTCTGAAAAATCAGCCATTGAAAACCCTATGGCGTGCAGTTCTGCTCTGACACGCGTGGGGGCGCCATGAGTCGACCTAATGGCAGTAGGCATCATTAAGTCAAACACAACGCAGAACACAGCTACATGAGGACGGGCAGTGGCAGAAGTAATGAATCCAAGTGTTCCATTTCAGGGAGCATCTTTCTGTCGTGGACTTCCTTCTCCTGGAGCAATTTATCAGCTGAACAGCCCTGGTGGTATCCCAAATACCGTGCGCCACGCTGACCCTTATGAAGCCCGTCCATCCCTGACTGCGTGTGTGTCCGGGCGCAGCCCCGGTCAGATGCAGCATTCAGCTTTCACAATCACACAGGCTTTCGAAGAAGAAACAGAACAAACAAGACAGACCACCTACAAAAAAAGATGGGACGCGTAATTATTTGCACAAAGCATTAGAAAATACTGTGATATTTTATTATTAAAAATGCCGCTGAAAAGTTTATACATATGTCTCCAGCCGTATATATCTTCTATCATTACTTAAGGCAAAATCAAAAACAAAACTGCAAAATAATAACCCAAGAAACCATTAAACCCTGCGTGCCTTTAAAGGTCAAGAATAAAAGCCTAGAAAGTATTTTTTTTCCGCATTTTTTTTCTCTTTTTTCTCTTTTTTTTAATAGATAGCAAGTATATTTTATTCTCATAGAACTCTATGAAGATTCTAGAACTTCTTTCCATGTAGAAATAAGATATCATTGAAGATGTATTAAATTGCTTTTGATCATAATCTTCTGTAAAAGCTAAAGTTATTCACTTCACAGGAACTCGTTTTTTTTTTTTTTCCTTACCCAAATGTCACAAGCCTGACGCATTGCTGTACATATTGCTAGCAGAAGACAATCGGAAATACTAAACAAATACTGGAATTCACATCACAAACATACCAAACCGACACCGACGTGAAGTTTCACTTCCTTTGTGATTTCATTGAGAACCGTATTTGCTGACGGCCAGCTGGGGTAAGACATAGTTTGCAGAAATGGTCTGCTCAAAGCTTTAGTCAACGATGAATTGGGTGCAGAATCTAAACCAAGCTATCTCTAGCTGGAGGAGTGTTGCTTCTCCATGGGCTAAGTCAGGATCGTCATATTCCACATATATATTTACAGAGACTCTCTAGTGTAAACCAAGATAAACAGCAGGGTTGACTACGTAACTTGGATGAATTGCTAAGAATTGTCTTGTCCTAGAGGGGATTTTCAAAGACCCGGACAGATGACTACAGTTCTAGGTTAGGGATTCGTTATCAAAGCTTGTTATCCCAAAGCTATGAAGGAGCTGGACGTTTCTGTGGAAGCGGACACATCCTTACTAGTGGCATTTAACACCGGGTATCTAGAATAACCAAAATCCAACCCAGAGACTTTATCTTCAGCTATCTTTGGTCACTACTTCTTGGTGATGCCGTTGTTTTTGAAAGACAAAATATAAAGTAACCATTTTTTTTTTCTCCCTCCACCTTATAGGCTCAAAACATTCCTTAAGGAAACTGAAAAGGAAAACAAGAAATTGACAAGGTGTCCGAGGGGCAAATGTCAGTCTCCAGTTTATCCATTTAAAATGGGTAATTTCCATATATTATCGTCATCAAACCAAACCTGTTACTGTTAACTCTGAATCATGACTACCCCACGTGTTACAGAGTAGCACTGCTCCGTAGGGTTTTCTTGGCTGTAATCTTTACATAAGCAGATCCTAAGCCTTCCTGGTTGGTAAACATGCTTAAGCACTTGGTTACTAAGTGAAAGGTTGATGGTTCAAATCCACCCAGAGGTGCCTTGGAAGAAAGGCCTGGCAAACTATTTCCAAAAGATCACAGCCATTGAAAACCCCAATGGAGCGCACTTTTATTCTGTAACACACAGGGTCCCCGTGAGCCAGAATCGACTGGAAGGCAATGGGGTTCTGGGGTGGTGCAAACAGTTAAGCGCTCAGCTGCGCATCAAAAGGATGGAGGTTCGAGTCCACCCAGAGGTGCCTCAGAAGAAAGGCCTGCCATCTACTTTTGAAAAATCAGCCATTGAAAACCCTATGGAGCACAGTTCTACTCTGACACACATGGGGGCACCATGAGTCAGAATTGACTCAATGGCAACTGACTTTTTTTCCTTCTTAATTATCTCGACAGCGAAGCTACCAAACTTCCCTAAAAACCCATGCACGTCACATTTAATGTTTTCTTCTTCTTCTTTTCTGTTCTATGTACTGATTGGTGACTGCCACATAAATCCACATAAAGTCATCTTTTCAGAGAAGGCTATGTTCTATCCCATAAATGATATAAAGAATTGGGAAAAAAAATCTGCTTATGGATAACTCGGGGATGTAACGCTGAAACAAAAATGAAAGACGCATGTCCTCCTTCAATCTGATTAGCAAAGCTGAGCAGACACTTGGACAGCCAAACCCTTTTGCAGCTGCTGGGGAACACAGAGCTGGATTGAGTCGGCCGGGCACAGCCAACCAAGGCAAGCTTTCTTTCCTTTTGGCAGGGCTCTGGGCTGGAAGCAACCCTTCCTAAACAGATTCCAAGGACCAGAACTACAGAACTAGACTTGAATATATGGATTTTTTTTTTCTTTCCCCTGATGTTCCTGTTTGTGCATGTCTGTCATTCAACAGGCTTTAAATATATTCCACGATGGGGACCCAAGTTTGTGTCGCAGCTCCATGAAGGCTCACACACACAAATAAAATAAAATAAAGTTTCCTAAAGCAACGGTCTCCTAAGAATGCTGTCACATGCACTTGTGCGACCCGAACGAAGAAATCCGCAGGTCACACAGTCTTGGGTCTTCTGTATGACGAGCGTCCTCCTATAAATGGGATGAGTTAGAAAACCCCATGTCTTTGTGTATCACAAGTAATTAAGAAGAACAGCCCCCTTTGTCTGGGAGGAAGCAGAGGTGATATGAGTAATGTATATATATTTATATACATACAGAGCACAACCAAAAGCACAATCTTGCTAAAAGCTCTTTCAAACTGAAAACACCAATAAAAGCTTTTTTTTTTTGATGTGTGTGTGAGTATGTTTAAACTCACAGCTATATACATTTTTCTTTTTTTTTACAAAGTTTCTTAAATATAGTTCAGGCTGGCAAAACATCTCTTTGCACAGAACTATATGTATTTTAGCACATGGTCAGTTCTTTCATTTTTTTATAATAAAATTCTACTTTTCCTTCATTCTGGATTGTAGTTCTATATGCTGGGTATAAGCCCATAAACTCTTTCTTCACCTATGTAGAGCCATCCATTGTATGGCACATAAAGAACTTTTTATTATTTCCATTTTGATTTAAAAAGAAAAAAAATTTTTTTTAAGTGTCCCTGGGTAAGTTCCAGAAATGTCTGCTGATACCGTTACGCTGGACACATCCAGGTCCTGGCCGTGGTGATGTTCTGGTCACACTAAACATCCGCTGGGGTGGTGGAGATCTTAAAGCAGTGTCGAAACAGCGATGTATACTTTTCACATTTCACAGGGTTGGAAGTTGATCTTGGAATACTTGGAAATTCCCAGGGAAAGGGTGAGCAGGGACACAAAGACTGCCCTTCCTCGTGTTTGTCTAAGTCAATGTGATGAAAAACATTCCATGGTTGGAGACATTCCTTCTCTCTTCCTCTATGTCTTCTAGGCTGCAGAGAGGGAAGTGCGGAGGGAGGGGGAGGGAACTGCAAAGCTATACTCTGGTGGTTGAATGCCCGTGGGGTAAATTTGTACTGTTCTGTCCTCCACTGAAGGTGTTGAATGTGTGCAAGGGCTGCATTCCCGACAGTGTGTTTGGAATCATGGTGATGGTGTTAGGTGTCATAAGTGGGATATCATCTGGAGACCGGCGCAGCGTAAGGGTGTAGTCTGGAGGGCAGGTAAGCCTCAGGGTGTCATGAGCCTGCAGTGACTCGCACTCATGGTCATGTTCCAATTGTTTCATCTGGAGTGACATGATCTCCTCATTCTGAATGTGAGCGATATCGTTCGTGGTGTTTCTCTGGGGGCTGGGGCGTCTATGTGTTTCATGACGTCTCTTGTCCTTTTTGTAGTACAGCGCGGCAAACGCCAAGATGTTGAGGAACAGTAAGGATGCCCCCACGGCGATGGTGACACTCAGTTCGGTGGAGTAATCCCGCTTGGTTTCAATGAGGACAGTCGTATCTTCAGGCCCTGTTTTATGTGGGTCCTTGGAGTGTTTGGGGTTGTTGGCAGGTGTTATTGCAGGGCGTTTGGTTGTAGGCCATATCTTTGCAGGAGATCGCCTGGTTCCATAGGGGAAGGACGTCATGTCGGGTGGGGGAACCTTGGTAGTGGTTGAAACGTACTGAAATATCTCGTTCAAGTTGTGCAGATGAGGCACAAGTTCCAACCAGAAAGCCACTTTTGTTGCTCGGTAGTGATCCCTCACTCTGGGTTTCAAGCCGATATGCAGATACAGCTGGTCTTTGGGGTTGTACTTGGACCAGGCCACTTCCTCAAAGCGGTTGGGTTTTGTGTGAATGAACTTAGTATCCTGTGGAACTGGTTGATTAGGATCACTGGGGACAGAAGAAAGAAAGAAAGAAAGAAAAGTCACACTCTTCCATATTTGACAAAAAAAGTAAAAAGGAAAAGAAAACTTGATAAGTTAACTGCATATATTTATCGATGAACATGAGGAGGCCTGGTGGCACAACAGCTAAGCGCTTGGCTTCGAACCCAAAGGCTGGTGGTTTGAACCCACCCAGAGACTCTGTGGAAGAAAGACCTGGTGATCTGCTGCCATAAGTCTTACAGCCTAGAAGACCTTATGGGGTAGTTCTACTCTGTCACATGGGGTCCATGTGAGTCGGCATTGACTTGACAGCACACAACATCAACAACAATCTTTATGGGAGCAGATTGCCAGGTCTTTCTTCCATGGTGCCGCTGGGTAGCTCAAACTGCCAACCATTCTGTTAGTAGCCTAGCACTTAACCATTTGTACCATGTAGAGTCCATTGAAATGACAGATTTGGATATATGCTGAATAATCTTGCATGACTAACCATTTAAAATATTCTACTCTGTATAATAAAAGGAGCCTTCATGGCACAATGGTTGAAAGATGAGAGCCTAGAAAATCCTATGGGACAGTTCTACTCTGTCCTAGAAGGTCACGATGAGTCTGAATCAACTCCACGGCATCCAACAACAACACTGATGAGCACAAAATACCCAAGCAGTAATAAACACCTTCCACTTCATTCCAAAATATGCCTACCATTTTGTCTTGTCCTTAAAATTCCCTCATATCTTCATTTTTAAACTAAATCCTGATGGCAGAGTTAGGTCATCTTTTATAACAAATTTCTACTTATTTGTTGAAATGTACTGTGGTACCTTAAATAATGATAAAGGCAAACAAAATATCTCTAGGAAAAACTTCAGTATTTCAAGTTTAATTAAGTGAATCTCAGCCAGATGATATCTCCCCGCCTCCTCCCCAGGGGATATTTGGCACGTTTGGAGCCCTGGTGGCTCAGTGGTTAAGAGATTGGCCGCTAACCAAAAGGTCAGCTGTTTGAATCCACCAGCTGCTCGTTGGAAACTCTATGGGGCAGTTCTACTCTGTCCTATAGGGTCGCTATGAGTTGGAATTGATTAGAGGGCAATGGGTTTTTGTCAGGAGACAATTTTGGTTGTGAAGACTGGGTGAAGGGATCTTCCTGGCATTGAGTGGGTTGAGGTCTGTGATTCTTCTAAACAGCCTCCAAGGCCCAGGGCAACCCCTACAACAAGGAAGTACCCAGCTCCCGAACGTCAATACAACTGAGGTTGAGAAAAGCTGACTTAGAAGCTATTGTTAGAAAGTGGGCATTCTCCGTCTCACTAAAGAACTGCTTTTGAAGTAAATGAAGAGTTGCTGCACTTTTAATAAACAGACTATATGCCACCAAACCAAACCAAAGCCACTGCTGTTGAGTTGATTCTGACTCATAGCAACCCCATAGGATTTCCAAAGCTGCAAGTCTTTATGGAAGCAGACTGCCACATCTTTCTCCTATGGAGCCTCTGGCGATTTCGAACCACCGACTTTTCGGTTAGCAGTCAATCGCTTTACCCACTGCTCCACCGGGGCTAAAACTACGCCAAAACCAAGTAAAAATAGGTTTTGAATTTTCAAAAAGAAATATGCATCATTTGTTCACTCTACTTGAAGGAAAATCTACTTATATTGAAGAAAATAGAACAAAGTAAATTATGATTATTTTTAAAAAATCTTTTGTAGTCTCAGGTGGGTAAATATCAAACAATACTCCATTAATTGTAATAGGTTATGTAAGATAGTACTTTAGGATAAAGAAACCCTGGTGGCGCATAAGTTAAGCACTCAGCTGCTAACTGGAAGGCTGACGGTCTGAACCCACCCAGTAACCCTGCAAGAGAAAAGACCTGGCCATCTGCTCTTGTAAAGTTTACAGCATAGGAGGACGTTCTGCTCTGTCACATGGGGTCGCTATGAGTCTCATTTAACTTGATGTCACCTAACAAAAACAACAACTAGTAGAGCCTTTAGGGAAACTGAGATATGCCGGGTTTCATATGTTTAGAAGTCACATGCCTTGCAGTGAACTGAGAGCATTTTTAATGAATATCAAGTGTGCTTGGAACTGTGCACCAAAACATTACCTTCTTATTATTTATAAAGGTGGGCACAGGGAGAAAAAAGACCATTGACATTTACAGACAAAGTGCTATCTAGGGCTGCTAACCAAAGGGTCGACAGTTCAAATCCACCAGGCACTCGTTGGAAATTCTATGGGGCAGTTCTACTCTGTTCTGTAGGGTGGCTATGAGTTGGAATCGACTCGACGGCAATGGGTTTTTGTTATACCATGAGCTTTCTTTTCTGTGTTTTCCGATAGAATCATTAATATCTGTGAAAATGAATCTGATTTTTATTATAGTTTATATTCTTGTATTCAAGGTCCAAATTGGAAAAATAGGGGATTCAATATGCTGACTGACTTGTGATTATTTTTGCAAGGTCTTCTTGCATTAATAAACAACTTCCATTTACTGGAATTTGCCATGGTACATATGCCTTTTATTTTGATTGTTTTAGATGAAATGAAAGGTAGCAATTTTTCTATTATTTTTCATTTTATTTTGCATCGTTTCACGTATTTCTAAATCCATTTTCCCCATAGGTCAGATTTCACTGAATCGCATTTGGGTCTATTAGGTGTGTTGTTCTTTTACTCCCGAGTGGATGAAAGAATGTTCTATTCCTGGTGACTATTAGGCTCTTTTTGAAGGAGTTCAGTGTGTTTTTGAAAGGTAAAGAAACACACTTATTTTGTTCTCAAAGAATAGAGCAGAGGATTTGGAAAATCCAGATAAGTTGGCTTTAGCCTGATACATACGATCTGTCTATTAAGGTGCTTGGAGATGCACCGTCAGAATTCTTAAACCAAGATAAACTCGTAGGGATTATGAAAGCCAGCGTCCTTCTCCCTTGCCAAACACTCAAAAGACAGTAACATCTCTACGTGGATATGACTGTTTTATTGTTTAGACTTTACTTCAGCATACAGTGTTTTCATTCCCACAAGCAAAATTGAAGATCATAATGATTAAGGAGAGAGAGAAACAGACTCCCTTTTGTCTCCCTCCTAAAAGCTTCAGTGTGCGTCTTCATCCCTATTCCATGGACCCTAACACATATATGGTTACCTGTCATATTTTATTTGAGATATACCCTTGGCGGTGGATAGTCAAATGCATTTCTAAGATCTTGTCCTTCACTTTATTTGCAGAAATAGGCAATTGATTTCTTTAGAAATATCAGTGAACCTTCACATCCGAATTTTTTAGGCAGTAGGAGTTTCTTCTAAGAACACTTGGGTGGAGCAAATAAATTAAGCGTTTGACTATGAGCCCAAAGGTTGGTGGTTTGAGCCCATTCAGAAGTGCCTCAGAAGAAAGACTGGCAAACAATCAGCCACTGGAAACTCTATGGAGTGCAGTTCTACTTCAATACACCTGGGGTCGCCATGAGTCGGAATCAACTCGATGGTAATTAACAACAGCGATAACAAGTTTTGCTTACACCTAGAGCAATGTAGTATTGACTATTGGGTATTCATCCCCTATAAAGAGAACTGCTCTAAGGGTGTTTTAAGTATTTGTTTATACCCTCTAGGCAACAAGTGGTGATGTTCGTTATTTGGCATAGAGTACTTACCCAGCTGACTTCAAGTCAACTCTGACTCATGGTGACCCTGGTTGTTGCAAATGGTTAACATGCTCTCAGTTGCTAACTGAAAGCGTTAGAGGTTCCAGTTCACCCAGAGACATCTCGGAAGAAAAGCCTGGTGGTCTAGTTCAGAAAAATCAGCCACTGCAAACCTTATGGAGCACAGTTCTTTTCTGACACACATGGGGTCTCCACAGAGTAGTTACTGGCAATAAAGGTGACTTTGGAAGCTGGACTTTTGCTGCAACTCTCTAACACCACCCTTCCTGACTGCCTCTTTTCTACTTTATTGCAAAGATTTATCCAGGGTTGAATAGACAATAGAAGTTACGGAGTCCTGGTAGTGCAGTGGTTAAACGCTCAGCTGCTAACTGAAAGGTCGACGGTTTGAACCCACCAGCCACTCTGTGGGAGAAAGATATGGCAGTCTGCTTCTGTAAAGAGTATAGCCTTGGAAACCCTATGGGGCCGTTCTACTCTGTCCTGTAGGGTCACTGTGATTCAGAATTGACTTGACAGCACTTTCTTTTTTTTTTATTCGGGAATACAAGTTAATCATAGGATACCAATAAATTCAAAAGCAGAGACGGCATATGAACCAAACAAAAGGTATACGCCCTTCCTCTACACCTACAACCAAACCACTGGGAATAAAGCCACAAAATCAATATCTACGTGCTGCTTTTAATTGCCATTACATTAAAGTAAAAATACTGAGTATACCGTGGAGTGCCAGAAGAATGACTAAATCAGTCTTAAACGAAATAAAGTCAGAATGCTCCTCAGAAGCGAGGATAGTGAGCCTTCAACTTGCTTGCTCTGGACAGGTCATCAGGAAAGACCCAGCGCTAGAGAAGGACATCTTGTTTGGTAAAGTGGAGGGTCGGTGAAAATAAGGGAACCCTCCATGAGATGGACTGACACAATGGCTGCCCCCATGGACTCAAACATAACCACGATCACGACGATGGCACAGACTGAGCGATGTTTCGTTCTGTTGTACGTAAGGTTGTCATGAGTTGGAGCCAACTTGATGGCAACTAACAGTAAGTATAACATGCTATTCCCTTACTGACACCAGTTTTTACCTCCTCACCTGGACAACGGAAACAGCTTTCTATCTACGTGGGAATGCTCCTCCCACAAAGGAATCACCATAGAGTCCTCTTGGTTTAAATAAATCAATAGCAACTACTTCATAGCCGTTGCCATGCATCGACAAATGTGTACATCAACAGCTAAAACACCCCTCTTGCTTGTTCAACCAACCCCGGGACAATCTCATCACCTAATTATTTACATTTCCAGTGGGTGCTT